AAAGAAGTTTGTATTTTGTTTTTTTTGAATAAAATGAAAAAATAAATTTATAATTTTTGCTTTCTTTTTTTATAAGGAAATTGATAAAGAAGCTGGTCGTAAAAGTGATTCAAGTTTAGAAGAAAAATTAGAACAACAAGAATTAAATGAAGGAAAACGTAAAGCAGCAAAACAACGAGAGTAAAAAAAAAACAAAATTATTTTAATTAAATATTCATTGAATTTTTTTTTTTTCTAAATTAAGATTAATTTTTAATGAATTACTTAATACAGAACGTGCATATGTTGATAGTTTAAGTAAATGTATTCAAGTAAGTTAAAAGAAACATATTGTTTAAGTTTAAATAAGAATTTTACTATTTGTAGTATTATATGGGTGAAATGCGTCAACATTCTGAAGATGTACCAGAATTTTTACGTAATAAAGAATCAATATTATTTTTAAATATTGAAGAAATTCATAATTTTCATAAGAAGTAAAAATATCGAATTTAGTTTTTGAAATATAAAACAAGATAAATAATTAATTAAAAACTTTCCTTCTTTTTTTTTTGTCTAGTTTATTCCTCAAAGATTTAGAAAGATATGAAGATAGTCCAGAAGATGTTGGTCATTGTTTTGTTACATGGGTAAATAAAATTTAGTTAATCAAAATGTTCAAATTTTTATTTTTTTTTTTAGGCTAAACAATTTCATATTTATTATGTTGAATATTGTAAAAATAATGAATCATGTATTAAATTATTAACACAATATCGTGGTCCATATTTTGAGGTAAAGTATTAATAATACAAATAGAGCTCGATGTTTATTCAATATTTCATTATTTTTTTCGCTGAAATTTTGATGAAATCTATTCATCATTATTTTGAATAGATAAAGAAAATGTACGGTTACGGTCTGATGCTCTCGTAATTCAGATCACTTTGCCCATATTTATTAAGAATAAATGAGTCATGACAGTATGACCTTTAACGAAAGTTTTATACATCCATCGTTCTCTATGAATAAGTATTGGTCTCAGCTTTGACGGAACTGATGTTTATATCCACTTACAATAGAAAACTATCTTTAGAAGAATGTTACATCGAATATAAGAGAAGAGTTTCCTTATATTTAAATATTTTTTTTAGAGTTTTGAGCGCGAGATTTTAAAAGATTGAGATGAATGTTATTTTTTTGTAGCCTTGAAAGTCTTGTTTCGAATTGTCGAAATCGTATTAGAATTTTTGAAAAATCTTATTAAGAAAAAAGAAAAAAGGAGATATTATAAAAGACTTTTATGAATATAGCCGTTTAAAAATTTTAATTCATACAAGAGACATGTATTTCTTATAGCGATTTTCAATTTTGCCAATAGCATCTGTTTAGTTTATTCTTATGCTTTAATGCATTTTATTAGAAAAGCTTTTTTCTTTTTTGTTTTGTATTAGTATAAGTTTCTTAACAATTATACGCATCAAGCAATATGTTGTAAACCTTTTTCTATTGCCAGAAGAGATTTGTACTGTAGCATTTCCTATTATTGAACCTATCGATCTATAACTTATTAATTATGCATCGGAGAATTCAATTTTTAAAATTCATAGTAATTATATCAGTCATTTCAAACAAAACGATCTTGCATTTGACTTTAAGAGATTATTTTTTCTGAGTAAATTGTTTTAACAGATGTAAAAATGTTTGTTCTTTCCATTGACTATTAATTAAAAATTAATTAGAAAACATCTCTCGTACCATACTTATGGTAAGGGCATTTCTTTTTTTTTCGTACGCTATCACATCACCATCAAAAATCTAGGTTTTAGTCTTCAGAAGTTATGTACGGAATGTATTATTTATTTTTCAAAAAAAAAAAATACTTCCTAAATCACAGAAAGTTAACATCGATATCCTTTTGTGTTGCGTTAATTTTTGTTTTTACCAATAACTTCTTTGAAAAAAAGTCTCCCATGCTGATTTTTTTTGATCGAAATGATGATCTTTTCTTTTTTTTTTTGCTTTATAAAAATCAATATTTTGATTTTGAAATAAAATTAGGTTTATACTTTGAACTGAATTAGAAAAGTATCCATCGTAGACACTTTGTCTATTATTGTTTTTTTTTTGCCTATCGACATTTTCTTATAATGCCATAGTTAATCAACTCGACAACAATATCCTATAATGTTAAGACTTTATTTTTAGACAATTCAACATAAATATCAAATTGATACAATTAATTCTTATTTAATTAAACCTGTTCAACGTATAACTAAATATGAATTATTATTACAACGTTTAATGTCTTGTTGTGAAGAATCTAAAGGTGAAGTTAAAGAAGGTTATGATCTTATGTGTAGTGTACCAAAAAAAGCAAATGATGCTATGCATCTTAGTTATCTTGAAGAACTCGAAGTTTGTATTTTAAAACAATTATTTTTTTTTTTTTTTTTGTTATTAAATTTTTATTTTTAATATATATAGTCTGGTTTAACAAAAGAAGCATTAGGTGATGTACTCCTACAAAATACATTTCAAATATGGGATTCAAAACAAATTATAAAAAAAGGAAAAGAACGACATGTTTTTCTATTTGAAACAAGTATTGTAATTGCAAAAATTCTTAAACCTGTTGCACGTGGAACTGTTCGATATATTTATAAATATAAATTAATGGTTTGTTTAAAATTTATTTTATAAAAAAAAAAACATTTGATTTTTTTTAGACTGCTGAAATCTTTGATGTTAAAGAACATTTAGAAGCAGGTGAACCATGTAAATTTGCTTTATATACAGGTCGTCCAATGTCATCACATACAGCTGATCTTCGAGTAACACTTAAAGTAATTAAATTAAAAAAAAAACGATAAACAATATGAATTATGATTTTTGTTTTTTTTTTGTTATAGGCAAATGATCTAAGTACAAAACAACAATGGGTTATTCGAATACGAGAACTTATTCAAGAGAATGATCTTTATCATGATTTATCAATGCATGAAACAAATACGAAACAAACAACAATACAAAATAAAATTTCACAGTTTATTAATACTAATCAGTCAGATAGGTAGGAAATCATGCAAAATTAATTGTTTTTTTTTTTTTTTTTGCTTTTATGTTATTCTATGAGTTTTATTGATCAGTATTTGGAGATAATTATCCTAGTTGAAGAATATACGACTAATATGTTAATCTTTTGCTTTTTTTTTGTTCCTTGTATAAATAACAGAAATAGAAAATATATATAGCCAATCAAATTAGAGGACATTTTAGTAGTAATAATACGAACTCGAATGGAAAAGGACAGTTATTCAAGGAAATCTTAGTCTTTCAATTTATAATATTCTTAAATTCTATATTCGACTAGATTATAAACTCAATATATTATTTTATCATAGTACATTTCATCGAAATTCCGCAATTTACATATCGATAATCAAATCTATCAATGATAGCATAAGATGATAACTTGTAATATATGAAATATCCGAAAATAATCATTGCCAAAATAGAGATTAACATCGAGAGAAAAATTCGATGATCTTTCTTTTCAATAATATTTGTTTCAGTAATGAAATACACAATCTGTTTTTTTTTTCTATGATGATGATAGTCAGATCGTATTCTATTCATAGCCATAGAATATAACAATAAATACGATTCAATGGAAAGGACATATAATCAAAGGACATCATTGATTTTCTTGTTGATTAATTTTGCTAAGTTTTTTTTTTTTCTTTTATTATATAGACGATCACAAGAAATAGCTGATAATATATCTGATGAATTTGAACATATAAGTCGTGGTGGTTCATTATCAAGTATGACAACAGGTTCATTTTCAAGTACTGGTCAATATCATCAAATTCAACAGGTATAGAAAAATTCTTAAAACAAAAACAAAATAAAAGTAATCCGTATTCAATCATTTATTTATTCATATGAATATAAATATCTTCAGCAAATATTCTATCGATTGCTATAGTCTATTTTGTTTTCTTTTTTCTTTTCTACCATATTCCCAATTATGTTCTTTTAGTAATTGCATGTGTTATGCGACGAGTCTTAGACAGAACGGCTATCTGTCAACAGTATAACCTTGACTAAGCAATGTTCTTTCTTTTGTACCAATATGTATATATACATACTCTTGTTGTCTGTAAGATAAACATCTAATCTCAATAATGTGCACATATGGAGATGAAAAAACTTCGATTGTATGAATAGACTATTGAGTAAACAAACTGTTACATTTAAAATTCAATAGATATATATATATATAAGATTCTGGTTGTTCTTATATTTTTTTTTTCAAATAGTAAACAACTATTTATCAATATTGCCTTGGGTACTGAATGATACTAAAGTGATATGTCTTTTTCTGTTTTTTCTTTTGTCTTGTATACTTATATTAAATGTAATAATAACTGATAAAAAACAACCGAATCACTGAAAAAAAATTGCCCTATCTAGATGATAAGTAAACATACGATTCATTTCTTTTGTCTATTATGTTTTTTATTTTATTTTATTATTATTGAATAGATGACAGCTTCTTTTTATTTATTTTTTTTATTTTTTGTGTCCCCTATCGCACATTCACGGCTAATAAAGAAACGGATATAACAAGAACGGAATGAGAGAATATAAAAAAAAAAAAAAGAGATCTACAATGCTCCTAACGATTGGTATGGTAGCTTAGTTTATCTATCATCCATGGATATTTGCCTACATGTTGATTTTTCTCTCTCTCTCTCTCTCTTGTGTCTCATATATATATATATCATCTATTAAGTGAATATAATGATGGAAAAAAGAAAAACGAGAGAAATATAGACCACACACACACACACACATACTCTCCTCAAAGACAGAAACAATATGAGAGAAGAGATTCTTTTTTTTCTATTATCAAATGGTACAAAGAAAAAAAAAAGAAATCTGTCTTTCTCTATAATGGATTTTTTTGTATTATGGCATATTCCTATAATAAAGAAAACGATCAGTTTCAATGAATGAGCGGTGAGAAGAAACGACATCGATGGAAATTTAGTCCAGTATTAATTGAAGAAAATATAACAATCGATTCAAAATCTATAACAACAACAACAAGAACTGAAGAAGAAAAACATACGGAAAATACAATACATAAATGGTATAATAATGATGATGATGATGATGATGACGATGATGACGATGACGATGATGATGATGAAAATAATCGAACTAAAACTCAAAAAACCATATCAGAAAAGATCGAACGAGTTCTACGTAAAATAAATGCTTGGACAAATGAGACAACAGCGGCGTCAACAAATACTAATGACAATAATATACAAAGAGAACCAGTACAAGATACATCTTTCAACAAAACAAATCTATCAACGTATGATTGTATCCGTCAGAAACAAGAATATAAAGCTCGTTGGAAAAAGCCAACATCAAATACATTATTTAATACATTGCGACAACGATGTTCTTCATCAACATTTGTTGATCCAAATCTAATCAAAAATCAGCATATATCAGTACATAGACCATATTCAATGATATTTACTAATGAACCATTATCATCTATGACGCCTAAATCAACTATTTTAAATACTGATAATCAGAATTATTTATATGAAGATTTAGATAGAAAGGTGAGAAAGAAAGATTTCCAAGGTTAAACCCTAATTTTCCATTATCATTTGCTCTGTAAACAATCGATTATATATAGTTAATACATATATATATATATCGAATGTTTATATAGCTAAAAGAAAATTCAATCTAATAAATGAACATGATTGATTCGAATTATCGACAAAAAAGAAAAAAACACAAAGAATCCATTATATAAGTATAGATCTTCATTCGAGCTAGTCTAATCCCTTTCTCCTTTTGTTTATTTCGGAAATCTACTAAAAGGATTATCTATTGTCAGAAAATTGTATTTACAAATTTTTCAAAATATATCTCTTTTTTTATAACTATCCTTATTACAATTGTTTCAATCTGTGCATTCAAATCGAAATAATTTAATATAAAATCTTTTTATAATCATAAGTCTATAACAATAGAAAACATTCTCATACGAAGTATAGAAATAAGATTAGATGTTATTTTTTTAAATTTTTCATCAATCATGTTCATTATACCATGTATGACAATTTCCGTTTTTTTTTTTTTTCTATATCCCTGGAAAAAAAAAAGAAAAAGTCTTATCTTTATTTTTTTTTCTTTTCTTCTTTTCCTATGAAATTATTAGAAAAAAATGCCCGATACCAAAGTTCAGTTTTCTTCATTTCGTCATAAAAAATCATCTGATAAACATCCGGTTTTGATTAATTTACTTGATAATAACAAAACTCAACGTCGATCTTTATTTTCTCCATATACTACCAATTTAGCACCTTTATCATCAATGTATGGTTCGGATTTTTTTTATCCATCAACAACAACAACCAAACATGAAGAAGAAGACGAACAACAACAACAACAACAACAGCAACAACAACAACATGAATACGATAATTTAACCTTTATACAAAATTCATCTCATCATAATTATGATCCATTTCCAATTCTAGTTGATTGTCAACATTGTAATCGATCATCTTTTCGTGATATATCATGTCAAGTACCATCAGATGATGATGATGATGATGAAAAGAATATCTATCAAGATGTTCAAATTGAACAACGTAAAACAAAACGATCATCACCATTGTATATATCACCAACATCAACACCACCATTATGTCAACCACCAATGGCAATTAATTTATTAGCACCATATCATTTTCGACGAAAACGTTCATTATCATCATATATTGATTTACATAATCGTTCAAAATCAGCACCATCAGCTTCTTTATCAACAATATCATCAAAATCAAATCGTATAAAACATTTATCTGAGAAAAAAAATTCTAAAAATTTACAAACATCACATTCCCCTTTACAGACGGTTACAACTGTACCGTCTTTAGTACCTGAATCAGCTCCTGTTACATCAACACCATCGACTACAGCCCTTCTTCGTTCTATAAAAACATCAATATATGCTATGAAAAAACGTCTCAAAGATATTCGTCGTTTGTCCGAGGTGGGTATGTGTTGTTAATGATGATGACGACAAAAGCATATATATATATATATATGTATGTGTGTGTGTGGATAAGCGCAACAGACAGAGAGAGGGGTATATAAGAGAAAAAAAAAAAAAGAAAAAAAAACAACATCTGTTGCCTGCCTGGTTTGCCTGTGTGCATATACTCGTATCATCATCAAGCGATTCGACGTCGTAGAGAAAGGAAAATCCGTGCACGCACAGACGTACACAACCTTTTTTCTCTATCGACAATGTTTCACTACCTGCGAACCCATCATCACAGGAAGGTAGAGCACATCTTTTAATATCTGCTTATATTTACATGTAATAATTTGGTGATTATATATATATATATATATGTAGGCGGAAATAAGCAAATCTTTGTTTTTCTTTTTTTTATTAATATATATTGTGTGCTCAGTGCATCACATTAGATTACGCAGTTATGTATGAAAACATTAAATAGGGAGGTCTTCTCGTCAGTCATTATTATATCATCGGTATGTATAAGTGTAAATATAACATATAGCAGCTTATTGTTGAGTAAAAGGAAACGAAAAAAAAATAGATATATATATATATAAGAAAACTAGAATACTGAGTAAACATATTCTTCATTTTGCAAAAACTTTGTTTTCTTCGGAAGCTTATTGAAATAAGTGATGCGTATATAATTTTCATTATTGTTCACGGAAATACTAATGGAAAAAAATTTTTTTTTGTGTTCTTATCTAAATAGAACATTGGAGAATATTATATTTAAAAAAAAAACAAGGAAAAATAAAGACTTAGTAGAAAAATAATTAAAATAACATGTATATCTAATATCTTTCATTTATTATTCCATATTTTTATAATGCCACTAGCAGGTTGATTTTATCGATATGTTCTATTTATGCATTTCCGAAAGGTGACATAAAACCTTTGGGATTGTCTATATATATACATATATATTATTGTTTTAGCATATATTTATATATAGAAAATATGTTTTTTAGGAAAGTCAACATACATGTGATGTTTCATCTGAGATGTATTGACAGATGATTAATTTAAGATGACAATATATTCATTAGATGTTTAGAGAATATTTCCACTTGACAAGTTGTAAAAAAAATTTTTTTTTTTTTTTGTTGTGTTATGTTTTTCAAAATGATATATCTATACAACGATTATCCCCTGTGAAGAGAAAAGCAAAAAAAAAGATAGGGAAAGATTGACTGCTGTTGTTTATTCAAGTAAACGATCTTTGGTATAATTACTATTGCTGCTGCTGCCACAACAATCTTTTCTTTTCATCTTATTTTATATTTGTGGACATGTATATGGCTAATATAACCTTCTTTAGAAAACAAGAAGTACAAGTCAAATAAAAAAAAAAAAAGAGAGAACTTTCAGCTAATTCACGTCATTTTCAATGAGAATTAACTCTATCATTAGTTGAATTTACGTTTTTCTTTTTTTTTTTGGTTTTATAACTCGCTTTAGCCATCAGATTGATTGGTAGTCTTTGCGTGTATTTGTGCACGCATGCACACGTTTTTTTTCTCTCTATCTTCTTTTCGATTGAATTAACTATGCATGCATGTTTGGCGTGTATGTCGTGTTGTGCAGTGTCTATATAGTGTTGAAATTTGCCGATGTTGTCGTCTTCATCTTCTTATCAAAGAAAACCTCTCAGTCTATGATTTTCCTGTCTTGAACAACGACAAAATAAGATTCTTGCTTCTATACCAATGTTTTCTCTCTCTCTCTTTTTTGCTTTTTTGCTGACGCGTCTCCATCAGGTTTTCCCTTTTCTCCCATCATTCATGAGGAAATAATGAATGTAACCCTGTTTTTGTGCACGAGAGAGTAAGCTAGTAAGAAAGAACGATGACAATAGAGACTACAAAAAAAGCAAAAGACACAAAAATAGAGTAAGAAAGAAGATTGAAGACAACAAAATGTATGACGAGTTTATATATATATATATATATAAATTGACACATACATAACCAAAATAACTGAACCATATCTGATTCGAATAACAACAAGAATAATGTCAATAATAAAATAATTGATGTATAAAAGACTTGAAAAGAAAGAAAAAGTCAGAAAATTTCTTTTTTTTCTTTTGTCTTCTTTATAAAAAGTTTTGCCTGATATAGAAGGTTTTTATTAAGTTTTCATATCATAAACGCAATTTTATTTTTAATTTTCTTTTAATGATAAAGAAAAAAAAAAAAGAAAGTCTAAGAATAAAATAAAATAATTATTATGATTAATAGAATGATGCCGTTGTTTTGATTATGGAAGTAGCAGTTATCGTTGTAGCGCATACACGGGGAAAGGAAAAATGAAGGACGGACGTCGACTACTACTATTACTACATCTAACACCAATATTGCTGAGTCTCGTTCGTCGTCAACAACACACATATACAAAGACATGCGTTCGCACAAGAGACAGAGAGGGAGAGAAAAGGGAGAAGAGTATTATTTAATAAATAATCATCGATGCTGATTTCATTTTTTTTTTTTCTTCTTCGCTACACAAATAACGTCTTACACCGTACGTGACTATCAAAAAATGACGTACACTTGACTGGACGGAAAGACAGATAACACTTCAGTTTTGTCGCTATTCATTAAGTCATCTATACTCATTTTTTTGTCTCGACAAGATTGTCTTCATTCATCGTCTAATAATAAATCAAGCCATTTTACAGTTAGTTCTTGTGTTTCCTGTATTATTTTTATGGAATTCTGGCGCAAGATGAAGTTGCGATGGGTAACTAGCTAAAACCTGATAAATGATAGTCAAGTTTTACAATTGATTGATTGTTTAAGTGATTGATTGATCATATATAGAATCGGTTGAGATAAATATATATATATAGAAGAAGAGTGATAACGAAAGCGACACTTTCTTATATGTATTTTCCTTTCATGTATAAACTAACGGTTCTATTATTATAGGATTCGAACGTAACAACTGTATTAGACGATTATACTGCACGTAGTTCACAAGAATTAACTGTAAGTAAAGGACAACACGTTCGTGTCGTACAACGACAACCACCACATGCACCTGATTGGTGTCTTATACGTGTATTAAACGATCAACATAATCCATCGAGTTCATCATCACTTGCTACATCATCAACAACAATTGCAACTGGTTCAATTGATTTACCATCACCACCACCATCAACATCTTCAAAATATATTGAAGGACTTGTACCAGCAGCTATACTTAAATCAACTAAATCATCATCATCAAACATTCATTCATTACCACCATTAGCTCTTTCAACAAATACGAATAAAACTGAACAAGGTAAGAAAATTTTTTTTTTTTTCTTAAATTATATTTATGCAGTTATCAGTTATTCTAATCTTGTAGAAATATTCTTCTTTATTATAATCAAATATATAGAATAGTTTTGTTCTAGAATTGGACTAGTATTCCCATATGAGAATAGAACATAAGAAAAAAAAAAAATTTTTTTTTTTTTCTTTTTTTGATAGAAGAAATAAATATATATATATCTATATTCCTTTTGTTCTCATTCTTTTATTATTGAAAAAAAAAGAAACCAAATAACATACAAATTTTATTTATTTAGATTCTATATTAAATAATACAGACGATTCTCAATCAAGACAACAACAACAATCACCAGCTGTTCATTTTAGTAAACGTAAAGCTAGTTTTAGGTAATTTATTTACAAAAAAAAAAAAAAACCAATCAATGATCATCTTAATTATTGTTTTTTTTTTTTTTTTTTTGTATTAGGCGAATTCTTAAAAATCCTGTTCGACGTCTTAGCTTAAAAGATAATAATAGTAGTAAAGATGGTAAAACTCCAACACCACGTGAATTAGTAACAACATCAGCAACTATTATATCAACGGATAGTGGTGATGGTATATCGAATAATAATAATAATAAAAAACAAGCCATATCATCGAATTCCACAACATCATCAAAAATCAAAGTATATATAAATCAAATTAAAAAAAAAAAAAAAGAAGAAATTTTTATTTTTTCAGGCATTTACATTTACAAACTCCGAAGATTTGACGTTGTTTCCTGATGATACGGTATGGTATCTTTTGTTTTGATGAAGCAATTTCCGTTTTATATATGTTTTTTGATAAGCTTGCAATTATGTTTTGTCATGTTGAAAAAAAAAGGAGAAGAAGAAGAAGAAGCCTTGATAATAGTGAAGAGTGAGTGAGAAAAGTCAGAATATTATAATAGACTCATTCATTTTTCAAGACAACTATTTCTTAAAGATGTCAATCAAAAAAACTTGATGCCCATTTGACATTCATTTGTAATGTTAAAAGTTTTTATTTTCAAACAAAAAATAAAAATAAAAAACTTTAATTTCTTTATATTTATTGACTTTTTCACTAGTAGCATCGAAGTAATACTTCTTTACTTTTTCTTCTCTTATGCAATTCTTTTTTGCCCCGAGGGTGGCTTAAATCACATATATGTGAATATATATATATACAATGAGAACGAACAAAAATAGAATAACACAAGCAGATCGATGTGATTGTATATGTATATATCTGTGTTACGTCGTCTTCATCGTGTTCTTTTATATATGAGTCTTACCTAGTAGTACTGGTCACTGTCCTCATCACATGAATAAGCGCATATATACATACCTTCGTTTCTTTTTTCTTTTCTTTCGTCTTATTCTCGAAATATTCAGTTTCTTTCGTGTACAAAAAAAGAAGAAAAGAACCAATTTCTTCTTATTCGGGTTCTGATTTTTTTTCTTTTTTTGTTTCTTTATATAATGTGTAATGTTTTCGTTTGACATCGCCATCTTTCTGTCATTTGAATGATTATTTGCCTATATTCGATAGGTTATTTAACTTGTGAGCATATAGACTTTAAATTAAAAAAAAAAAAACGAAAAACTAAGACATAATAAAAAAAAAAAATAGAAAGATGCCTCGTCTTCCATGGACAAAAAAATATAAATTATTACCATCATCAAAAAAATCGACTATTCGAAAAAATGTAAGTTTTTTTTTTTTGACGTATTTTGCCATGTTAACACTGAGCAAGCACGCACATTGGTTGAAACAAATAAGAAAAAAGAAGAAGAAGAAGAAAACTCGCTCTCGGAAAGTGATGATGCTCGCTTTCGGCACCCATCAAATGACATAAAAAAAAAAAAAAAAAAAAAAAGAAAAATTGGTGTCGCCATCAGACCCAAGAGAATGGAAGAGGAAGTAGAAGCGTAATTCGATGCTACTTGTGTCTAGGAGAAATAGCATGGTGATCAAAGAATATATTCATATATGAGTTGAAGATGCTTGTCGTTCTTCTTCCTTAGAAGTACATATATATATATTTCTTGTTTTGTTTTGTTTTGTTTTTTTTTTGTATCATATATTTTCTTATCAATGAAAATATGTATTCTATTTTATTTTTGTACTTTTCGTTTTTTATGTTAGAATTCATCAAATAAATTAATGGATGGTAGTGCTGGTATGAATGGTATTTTTAAAATGACTGAATCATCATCATCATCACCACCATCAAGTGTAACAACAATTATATCTCCATCGACTACATTAGCTGGTGATGATTTAGAAAATGATGTTATTGAAGTACCACCACCCATGGATATTCAAGTTCAACCAAAATTATCTGCTGATACAAATATTGATAAAGTTACTACTGACGAACCTTCATCACTCGTAAGTTATATGTGATCTTTTTTTACTAGAGTTTATATCCGTCGTCCTTTTTTTTTCATACGTTACATACTTATATTTGTTAATGGATTCTTTTTTTCGCCCCCTTCTTACCCAGATCAGGTGACGTCAAAAAAAAAATTGAAGTTATATTAATAGTAGAATTAGTAACAACAGCAGTACTACTCGTTCCTTCTCTTTCCTTTCGATTTCTTCGGCACATATATATATATATATATAGATATATTTATATATATATATATGTATACTGTAGTGCTAAGCGTAATGCAGGCGTTATCTCAACACATCTATTACATATTTAGATGAAGGAGAGACAACAACAACAACAACAACAAGAGAGTGTTGTTAATAAGAATTCTACAAAAGAGAAATTGAGATAGAAGTTTATAGACAAAAGAAAAAAAAAGTACTCTTATGTCGACAATGTTCAAATAAATACATATTAAATATTCTAGTCAATAATATTTTCTTTGTCGAATGTTTATATGTTCATTAATTATGATCATAGTTAAAATATGTATAGATAATAATGAGACAATTACTTATATCAAACTAAGCAACAACAACAACACATTGTCGTTCAGTATACAAACGAGAATATTCGGCTCTTTTCCTTCAATTCTCTCGTCATCTAATTGCATTGCTTGTTGCTACTAGTTCTCCTGTTGCTGATACTTCATCGGCCGGAACGCGCGCGCCTGCGCATACACACACATAGAAAAATGTGTCGGCAAGAACAGTAGAAAATGATGATGGGCGTCCGCATTTTTTCGCGCTTGCTCCCGAATAATCGCAATAATAATGTTAGGCGACCGAGCGAGGCCAAACGACAACGGGACCAGTTGATAGTAGCTGTTTTTCTTTCTTTCTTTGTTTTTTTTTTCTTCTCTTTTCGCATTTTTTTTTTCTTCTTCGTCTTCTTTCATATACCCTCTTATTCTTAGTTCTTTTTTTTCTTCTTCTTCTTACCACTGTGCTACGTTATTGCTTCGTTAGTGAATGAAAAAAAAAAGATTGTCTTATGTTTACTATCGACGACAATGACGACGTTCTAATATCATCTTCTATGACATTTTCGTTTAATGGAAAATCAACGACAACATTATTACAAATATAAGTCGTGCACATTTTTTTAAGTTTTGAGCAGTTTTTTTTTTCTTTTTGTTTTTATACTCTTAACATAGTAAAAAGAAAGAGCGAATCTCTTTCTCTCTCTCTCTCTCGTCCTCCTTTTGTCTTTTACATCCTATCAGTAATACTACACCTACTACTAACTTGAGAAAAGTCGACGGGCGTACATTTCCGCTCGGTAGGAGACAGCTCGACGACAACACACAACTACAAAGAAAAAAAAAAAATCTTAAGCAGAAAACAGTATTTAGAACAAAAGAGAGAGAGAAGAAAGAAGACACCAACAAACAAACTGAAAAAATAAAAAAAAAGAAAGAAACAAATACGGAGATCAATACAGTTGTAAGAAAATTTGTTAATACGATTGCACTGGAGTCGTCCAGAACCAATAGTCCAAATGTATCATCGCGTTTACGTAAAGTACGCGCACCACCATTAGCATCTGTTAGTCCAATCGAAGATGATTCGGTTATTGCTCGACTTGTTCAACATATTGTAAGCTATAGATATTCTTTATTTATTATTAAACGATTTGAGAAAGAAAAAAAAAAAAAAGCATTTTTTTTAAATTGTTTTTTTTTATAGGCACCTATTAGTATTGTTGCCGGACTTCCAGTAAGTGATTTTCATATTCCGACTGCCTTGTCAGTGACGACACCGTCCGTCAATGATGTATCGACAACGAATAGTTCGATGCCATCGTCAAGTATTCTACAACAATATTCATCATCATCTCTATCATCATCTCCATCAACAATAATAACAACTAATAATAATTCATTATTATCTTCATCAACATCAACTGTGATTCCAAATGATAATCTTAATGAACAAACCGATGAAATATCTTTACATGATATTGATACAAGTATTGATCAATCATTAACACTACAAAGTACAACAACAACAACAAATGATGAACATGTTGATGATCGAACAAAATATGGTGAAAAACGAAGGTAAGAAAAAACTAAACTTCAAAGATAATTATAATTATATTTTTATATGTTATTTATAGACATAATATTATTGAATTAATTGAAACAGAAAAAGAATACGTCAAAGATTTGGCATTGATTGTTGAAGTATAATATAATAATACTTATGTTACTACTACTATTATTATTATTATTTTGTAGGGTTATATGAATGTTCTTGAAAATGATAAAGAAATTAAAAAACCAACAGGTCTTGTTGGTCTTGAACGTGTTGTTTTTGGTAATGTACAAAGAATTTATGAATTTCATCGAGAGTAAGTTTAATAAATAAAAAAAATTTTTATTAATATTTATTATGATATACAATCTCTCTCTTCTCTTCTCTTTTTGCTTTTTTAAGTACATTCTTACCACAACTTGAACAATGTATTGAAAATCCTGATATACTCGGTCGATTATTTACCGTAAGAAGAAGCAAAAAAAAAGAAAATTATCTTTTTATTTTTCTTTTCACTATTATAGACAAATCGATTTAGTCCTTATGTAAGATATTGTGAAAATAAACCACGTTCAGAATATATTGTTTCGGAATATCATGATTATTTTGAAGTAAGTTTTTATTTAATTAAACAAGACTAAAAAAAAAAAAATTCTATACAATTATACGTTCCTAGAAATATAATTAAAGATCATCCATTTGGAAAAGTTATATATATATATAATTAGTTATTGTAAAAATTTTCTTTTATTGTTAAACATAAACGTTTCCTTTTTCAATTCAAGAAAACAAAACTATAAATGAATTCAACCGATAAATAATATGAGACAAACTGGAAATTCTATTATGAATAAAAGAATCACGTCTAGAGAGAAGAAGAAAAAACATTCATGCTGTTCTCAACTAACAATTTCCGCAATAGATAGGAAATAATTGTAACAAAAAAAAAAACAACAACAATAACATTTTGAGCAAAAAATTTTTATTTACATTCGATAAGTCAAAAGCTTTTGAATTATATTGAACGAAAAAAAATTTTTTTTTTTTTTCGTACATATTTATTATTATTAATAAAAATTTGAATTTTTTTCTTTTTTGACCAAAAAACAAAGTTTTTGTTTTTTTTTTCATAGCAAAGAGCTCTTGACAAAATGCCTATAGCATCACTTGGATAAAAGCTACAACTTAGTTCTATATAACATTTTTTATAAAGAAGTGTTTACTCGATAAGACGAACGGATTGCAATGAAAAGAGACTTATAAGAAGTAACAAGAATATTCTTGCCTAGCGGCTAATTCAATAGTTCGATATCTCTCTTTTATAACTATAATTTTAGACAGAAGGTTAGCTTAATGTCGAGTTCTTTCATACAACTGCTTGACCTTTCTATAAAACGCTAACTCTAACTATAAGAGCAGCTGTATGTCATAACTTACTCAGCATGATCTGAAATAAATAATTATTAGTGGTTTGTCCATAGTTCGTGGTATTGAGGTTTGCAATATGTGTCGAACAACATATTCATTGAATTATTGCAGCTGTGAAACTTAATAATATGCTGACTAAATTTTGATATATATATGACGTAGCCGAAAGAGATCTTAATACAAAGGATTAACAATGTAATAAATACTGAATTTTTTTTCCTTAGGACGTTAAAAAAGAAAAAGTATTTTTTAACATTTTGCTGAATTTTTACTGTTAATCTCTTAAAAGTTTATAGTTCATATATTGTGATTCAATGATGAAAATTTAATTAGAACAAGGTTTTTTTCACGGAAGAAAAATGATTTAAATTAATGCGAGATATAAATAACTTATTTTCTATGTTGACATATATTCTCATTTGAAGAAAGCTCTTACGATTAGAGTTTTACATGTTCTATTCGAGGTTAAATTATGAGATTAACATTTTAGGTACTTTTTTTTTTTATTTGAATCAGAAGTAAATTATAGTTTAGAATTAAAAGATAATATAAATCTAAAGTAATTTCCGGTAATTATCTTTTTATTTTTATTTTTTTTAGCTTTTATAGAAAAATCTTTGCATTTTTGTTTCCGACTTTTATATTTATTTCCTTTGGTTTCTTTTGTTCTATTATTAATCACATAAATATATATATATATATGATTGAATTTTCTTCAGGAAATTCGTAAAAAACTCGGTCAAAAATTACTTGTATCAGATCTATTAATAAAACCAGTACAACGAATAATGCGTTATCAATTATTACTTAAAGAAATTCTTAAATCAACAGATCGTATGGGTGATGAATCACGTGCTATACGTAGTGCTTTACAAGTTATGATTGAAGTACCACGTTTAGCTAATGATATGATGAATGTTGGTCGTATAAAAGATTTACCAACTAATGTACATCAATTAGGTGAACTTAAATTACAAGATATGTTATCTGTTAGTGAACCAATAACAAAAGAAACAAAAGATATAAAAGAAATTGAAAAAAAATTAAAAGAACGACGAGTTTTTTTATTTCAACAAGCTATGGTTGTTTCTGAAGAAATACCAGCTAAAGATAAATATTCAAGTCCAAATTATATTTATAAATATGATTTAAAAGTAAAACAAAAAAAAAATAGAATATTTATTAAAACTAAAAAAATTTCATTTTTTTTATTAAGATTAATAAATTACAACATAAAGAATTTAAACGTAATAAAGAATTATTTCAATTTATATTAGTCGAAGTTGATGCTGGTAATACACGTCGAGTTATATGTCAATGTAAAGATGATGAACAATATGAATTATGGGTTACTAATGTAGAGAAAGTGCTTCAACGTCAGATGGATCTTATCATAGGTATTGATTTGTTTCTTTTTTTAATCTACAAAAATCTTCTAAATAAAAATATATATATTTTGTTTAAATTTCTTTTTTTTTAAGCTCTAACTAATCCAACAGCTGCTCTACAAAAAGAGTAAGTATTTTTAAAATTAATTAATTAATTAATTCTATTTTCATATTCTTCTTCTATTCTAATTTATCTAATAGTCCTCGTTCTAAGTAAAACTAATATTCATATATATATATATATATATATATTTATATACATACATTATACTCATACACACTCATACACAGATCAATGAGAGAGAAAAGAAAAAAAAATTATTTTCCGTAAGATAAAAAAAAAAAAAAAAAAAAATTAAATGGTCTCTGTGTGCATCTTTATTTTAATACATTATTATTATCACTACCAGTTTTTATTTTCCATTCCCAAGCTTTTTTTATCTGTATGATTAGTCTTGTTTGCATGTTTTTTTTTTTTTTTTTTCTTTTTGTTTATTTCCAATCTAAACCTGCCTGATCTTCTTCATTTTCTTTTTTGTCTATTTATGTTATGTATGTTAAATGTAAATCATAGGTTATTGACATGGGAATTACCCGAATGGCGACAATCAGGTCGACGACATTTTACCACTAGTGCTCATACCTTTGTTTCATCGCATTCCAATATGTGATATTTATTATAAAAAAAAAAAAAAAAAGCAAGAAAATTTTAAAATTGCTCATGCGAGCTTGTGGTTGTTTTTTATTTGATATAAGCTTTTATGCGCTCTGCTCTGATTTGAATACTAAAAAAAAACAAAATAAAATAAATTTTTGAATTTCATTTTTTTTTAATTAAATTTTTTTTAATATTTTTTAGGCAAGATTCGTCCATGTCTTTATTTATACCAAGTCTAGTAACACCAATATCTCGAAATCAAATTAAAAAATCTATGTCTGATCGTTCAACTAAATCTCCTGAATCCTTATCACCAACACATCATTTATCAACATCACCTAAATTAACTAATTCATTAATATCACCATCACGAACATTATCTAATTCTGATACATCAACAGTAGAAAATACAAATAAAAAATCATCATTTAATTTATTTGATTCAATATTACAACGTTCAGTAACAAAACCTTTAACAATAAATACTTCAACACATCATGATATAACACAACAAAAAAAATTAACAACACAACAATCATCATCATCATCAACAACATCAAATACACAATTACCTGAACAAGCACGTTGTTTACATAGTTATAATGCAATAAAAGAAGATGAAATATGTGTTCATAAAGGTGAATATGTACAAATTGTTGCTGCTAATCAAGATAATCGATGGTTTGTTCATCGTGATGCTAATCGAACATCACCAGCAGCTGAAGGTTGGATACCAGGTTTTGTTCTTGGACTTAAAAATCCTAATTCAATTATACATCATAATATATCTCCATCACCACCACCACCGTCATCATCATCTTCTCAACATCAACAACCGACATCATCATTATCAGCTAATAGTCTTCATCGTTTAACAACAACAACATCGACAACTCATCATCCAACAATTACTTATGAATCAACTTTACCTCCTAAACCTCAAACGAGTACTTGCGACAAGGTATAAAAATAATAATAAAATCTTTTTTTCTTTCTCTACGAGTGTGTATGCAAGACGAGGTTACGAATCTCTGTTATAATCTTCTTCTTCTTCTTCTTTTTTTTTTTATGCGAGCAGCAATCAAATATGCTATATCTTTCTTTATGTATTATATACTATATTTTGTTTGTATTTGTGTGTGTTTTTTTTTTCTTTGTGTATTTTCTCAATTTGCAAAAAAAAACTAATGTATGTGTAATGTCATTGTGTGGTTTTGTTTTTTTCTTCTTTCTTTCTTTCTTCTGCTCGCTCCGCGTACTATATAGCAGCTCACGCAAACATGTTGTTTTATTTCTTCTTTTTCTCATTTTTTTTTCTCTGTTATTTTTGTTCCGACAAAATATTAATGATGATCAATTAAAAATATGAGATTGAATGAAGATACATTTTGAAAGAAAAAGATTTATATATATATACGATAAACTAAATGCTTTTGATACAAAACAATAACAAACGATTGGTAAAAATGACCTTGATTATTATCCAGGGAGATGGAAAGTACTGATGTTTAAAAAAGATATATATATATATGATGTAATCGTCTGTGTATTTATCTTTCTGTTGTGTTTATATGTTGTTTGTTTCGATATCGTTTCTTTGTCTTTCTTCTTCATGTTATATATATATATATATATTCATATATGTTTATAAATTTAATTTTCATTCTATTCATATATTTTATTTCTAGCGTCTTAGTGGTGTTTTACGTTATTGTGGACCTGAATTGAATATATCTACGCATGAACGAAATATTTTTCTTGGTCAATCTTTAATTCTTCAAGGTCATGTTATTGGTAATCCACGACCAGCTATTGTTTGGCAACATCCACATGGTCATACATTAGTTGATGATAGTGCAAATATACATACACATTATGGAGATGATGGAACGATTCATTTACAAGTATTTATCTAATATGAGATCATTTATCAATTATAATAAAATATTTATTTAGATTCGTTGTGTATCTATGCAAGATGCCGGTATATATGAATGTATAGCTACAAGTACTCAAGGTACTGTTTCACAACAAATTCCTGTTCAAGTAAAAGGTAAGTGAAGTCAGATATAGGTCCGAGTCTATCGCTCTCTATGCACATGAGTATGCGAAGGATCAAACTTTTAGCTATTTATTATTTACTCTCAGAAAGAAAATTAACTCGCAGTCTGATTAGTTGATTAGAGTATCATGTTAATCAAAAAAAAACAATAATTGAACAGTTAATCGATAAACTATATTCGTTCAATCAACAATAACATCAAAATAAAAACTGTGGATCTATGTTTAAGCAATAGAATAGTGAATAAAATTATCTTCCTGCGATTATCTATAGCAGCTATATTATGTTTGACATTTTAATCTCATCGAAGTATGTTTGAGTCTAATATAATTCTTTTAGATTCAAATGACCATCATAAACTTGAACAAATTCGTTGGTCATCAAGATATCGACCAAATGAATATCGTGAAGTGAATGAAATAGCTCGGTAAGTTATTATTTTTGTTCGAAGATTTTATTTTTTTTTTGTTTATAATAGAGGACGTCATTCAATTGTTCGTCAATGTATTCATATATCAACCGGTGATGTGTGTGCTGTAAAATTAATATCAAAAAAACTTATTTCACATGAACGTGCTTTACATGAATATGCTCTTGTTTCATCTATACGGCATGATTCAATTATTCGAGTATTTCATTTTATTGAAACAAATTCATTTTCAATAATTATTTCCGAATTGTAAGATGAAAAAAAAACAAACAAATTTAAGATTATTCTATAATTCGAATATTTTTCTTTTGATAGAATATCCGGTGGACGTTTATTTGATTATCTTTGTTTACAATCAATAATAATTGAACATAACATAGCAAAATATATGCGACAATTATTAGATGGATTAAATTATTTACATAATTGTAAAATTGTTCATTTAGATATACAAGTAAATAGTTTGAAAAGTTTTTTTTTGTTTTTTAATATTAATTTTCTTGTTTTTTTAGCCAGAAAATCTTCTTATTAATATTGAATATGATCAAATAAAATTATGTGATTTTGGTGATTCAATACGTTTATCAAATATGAAATATATTCATCGTATGAGTGGAAATATTGAATTTGCTGCACCAGAATTAATTAATGGAAATATTCCTGTTCATTATAAAACAGATATCTGGTAAAATAAAATTAGAACAAAAGAACAGTATTTTATTGTATTAAATAATTAATTTTATTTTCAAAGGTCGTTCGGTGTTATTTTATATACATTATTATCAGGTCTTTCACCATTTCTTGATGAAACTGATGAACAAACATGTGCAAATATAATAAATATTGATTATAATTTTCCTGAAAGTCAATTTCCATATGCATTTCAATCAGCAAAAGAACTAATTCAAACGATTTTTGTTCGTGAACCAAGGTAAGATTTATATAGGATAGGAAATTTACGAATCCCTGTTCCCACAAATACCTTAACAGTTTCAGAGCTGTTATTTGTTAAATGAAATATTCAATTACAGACCATATTTCAATAAGATCTTGCTATAATATATGAACTACTTTGTAAAAATAAATTTTGTTTTCTTTTTTATCAGTAATCGTCCATCAGCAAGTGAATGTTTAGTGAATGAATGGTTTCATCATGCTGGTCAATATCAAATATCAACAACTAATTTAAATAATTTTATTGAACGAAGAAAAATTTTAAGTGAAAAATCTTAGTTAATTGATGAACAGTTTTACAACAGGAAATGAAATTTTTCTTTTGTTCAGTCTGATAATTTTTCTTTTTTGTTTTTCCTTTTTTTTGTCTCATGTTTATCTAATATGTGTATGTTGTGTGCAATTATTCTTCTCTATTATTATTATTATTACTATTATTATTGTTGTTGAATGAACAAGTTTTCTTAATCTTGATGATATTCAATATTGTAGATAAATCATGTTGATTAGTATTATTTTTCTTATTATTATTGTTAATTATGTTCAATCTCAAACAGAACTTATTTTACCACCATTACCTTATGAATATAATGCACTTGAACCAGTTCTTTCGGAACATTTAATGAAATTACATCATGATAAACATCATCAAGCCTATACAACAAAAGCTAATGCTGTACTTAAATCTATCATAATTGATGAAACATCTAATGATCAATTAAAAGATTTGGCTAAACAACCAATTGAAGTTATTCTTTCTCATCTTCAAGAGTTACCAGAAAAATATCAATTAACATTAAGAAATAATGGTGGTGGTTATATTAATCATAAACTTTTCTTTTCAATGTTACGTAAACCAACAGTTACAGCTGCTGAAAATCTACCAACAGGTCTATTGCTTGAAGCAATTGAAAATAGTTTTAGTTCATTTGATAAATTCAAAGATATGTTTACTAATGCATCAATCAATCTTTTTGGTTCCGGTTGGATTTGGCTCTTTGTTGATGCACAAACAAAACAACTTGCTATAAATTTTACTGTTAATCAAGATAATCCGTAAGTAAAATATGAAATTTTGTTTATTATTGATTTATCAAGTAAAAATAATTTTTTTTTAGAATTATGTTCGACAAAGATCATGTTGTTCTTTTAGGTATTGATGTTTGGGAACATGGTTAGTATAGAAATAATAGAAAAAGAAATCTATAATAATGATATATTGATTTTGTTTAGCTTATTATCCTGTTTATGAAAATCGTCGTAATGAATATGTGGATAACTTTTGGCGTATTATCAATTGGGATTTTGTGGAATCACTTTATACTCAAGGCACTACTAAACGTCATGACCTTTAATTTTCGGGTGTTGATTGTTAATTTGTCATCTTTTTTTTTTCTATTTATTTTTTTCAACATGTTTTCTAAAAAAGAAAAAAAAAACTTAAAATAAAATATTGGAGTTAGATGAAAGATGAACATTTGTTCTTGCAGAATAATAATGAAACGACTTGGTATTGTTTGGTTTCGAAATGATCTACGATTACATGATAATGAAGTAGATCGATTGCTTGAAAGTTGTTTATTTCTTTATACAGATACTTGTATGGCCTCATACAAATAACGATTATGTTATTCATATGTACTGTTTTGATTCACGTCAAATAACAGATAAAATATATAAATGCGATAAGTATGGACTGAAATTTTTAATTGAAACAATTGAAAATCTCAATACATCATTGATTAATAAAGGGAGATATGCATCACCCATATTGAAATTGTATATCGCGAACGATGGATCTCTCAATTGATTCAACAATTCAAAGACAAGTTTGAAATATCGATTGGTTTTCATCAAGAAGAAACTGATGTTGAAAAAGTAGTGCGTCAATTAGCTCATGATAATAACATTTGGACATCAACATTATATCATCCTTATGATTTACCATATAATAATCCGAAAGCGTATGTTGCTTATACATTTCTCTTATTAGTATCGAATTCGATATTCTTTTTATCAGGTTTTCTGATGTATTTACAGAATTTCGAGTAACACTCGATAAAAAAAAGTATTCGAGTACGATGTTTGATCAATATTTCTAATACATTTAAACCATTATCAGATGATTGTGTTATAACATCTATACCAAGTTTAACAGATTTTGGATATTCAAGTACGATAGATTATTTACTTTTACTTATTGTGATTGTGCATCCTAATAGTGTATTTTCATTTGAAGTTGGTGAGTCATCTGGACTTGCTCATCTACAAGAATATGTTTGGGAAAAAAATTTAGTTCTATCTTACAAACAAACACGAAATAGTTTGACTGATTCAGAAAATTCAACAAAATTTTCTCCGTGGTCTGATAATATCTCTTTCCAATCATTCATATATATATATTTAAATATGTATTATGTATAACTTAAATCTGGTATGAGGCTATCGAATGGATCATTATCTTCTCATAAAATCTTTTTTGAATTAAAAAGATATGAAAGTGAACAAGGTATACCTGATGCTGGATATTGAATTATATTTGAATTGCTTTGGCGTGATTTTTTTCAAATTTACTGCTATGAAATATGGTACATGTCTTTTTTATGGACGTGATCTTAAATCAGATCCATATGTGTGGAAACATGATTTACAACAATTTGAAGCATGGAGAAGTACGTTTTTTTTCGAATTCAATATGAAAAATTTTCCTAAGACTCATTTTTAGAATCTATATTAAGAGTTTATTAAAGTCTTTTCAAATGATGTACTAAATGAATTTACTTTCTTTTTTACAGCTGGAAATACAGGTGTTTCATTTGTTGATGCTAATATGCGTGAGATAATAGATACTGGTTGGATGTCAAATAGAGGTAGCCAAATTGTTGCAAGTTATCTTACAAAAGATCTTGGTATCGATTGGCGGTTAGTTTTGATCATTATCTTATTGAAAATGAAAGATATTAATCAATATTTTTTAATATGTTAGATATGGAGCAGTATGATTTGAATCGATTTTGGTAAGATTTTTATTATATTGCCTTTCAATATTACTTCTAATCAATTATTTTCTATTTTTATTTAGATTGATCATGATGTTTGTTCAAACTATGGAAATTGGGTGTATCTAGCTAGTGTTGGAAATAATCCAAGAGAAAATCGACATTTTAATATGACTAAACAAGCATTTGATTATGATTCTAATGTAAGATAACTATGAATGATTTAGAAGAAATGAAACTTTGTTGTTACAGGGCACGTTTGTACGTAAATGGTGTCCTGAATTAGTTCGTTTACCAAATGAATATATTCAAACACCATGGTTAGCTCCATTTCACACGCTCAAAGATGCTAGTGTAGAGCTTGGTGTTAACTATCCTCGACCCATTATTATTGTATCACAATGGAATCAACAAGTAAAATCTTTTTTTTTTTTTGTATAATTTCATTCTTAATGTGTGTTCCATAGTCTCAAAATTGTCGAACATCATTGCAAAATCAACATCATATGCAAAACGTGGCATAAATTTTTATTTTAAAAGTAATCAAAAACGACATTAAAAATCGATAATTATTTGTTGACTTTTACCTATTTACCCATTTATTTATTTATTGGTTCTATTTTGTTTCATTTTGTCTTATGATTGTTGTGAATATTTGAAAGGGATTTCATAAGAAGTATTTCATATATATATTGTTCGAGATTGATCGATTAGTACAACTATAAACATATTGAACTTTGAAAACAATGACTAGATCTAACAATTTGGAACTGAAATTAGTGACGATGGTTTGTCAATCGATATAATATCGATCAAATTCATATAGCACCTAGTTGACTACTAAAATAAGAAGAATCTAGATCGATAACAGGTCTATTTCATCACTTCAAAATAAAAAAGAAGCTAATGGCCGATTAAGACTGTTCTTTATGAGCAATGATTTAGATAAACACGAATTGATCCAAGACTGATAAGCTATCTAAGATTTTTTAGGAGTTTTCTTATGCTAATACTAAAACTTGTTCAGAAGTATTTTAGAGTGATACCTTTAACTTTTTCAGGGGCTAACAAGAAGTTTTACTCTTAATTTTTTAACGACTATCCTAGGATGATACTTGAAACTTTTCGAAACTACCAATGAATACTTCTTTAATGTTTTCAATGTTGTGGTACCTTGTGAAACTTTCACAATATCTCACAAATTCATCATGTGTCTTCAAAGCTTGAAGCCCATCTTTTTTCTCTCCTGATAACAAATAAGGTATGGGAAACAGGTTCGCGGCATTTTTGCTGTCGATATAACTTTGCAACTATTTGAGCAATTTCAACAAATAAATAGTCATTTTAAAGTGCATGTCAAAGTGCACTTATTGTGTAAAAATAAAGGTTCTAGCTCAAGAAGTAAGAGCATCAATAAAGGAAGTTTATTACATGCGTTTTTGATCCTCAAAAAATAACAGATGGGGCAGATTAAATGGCCGCATTTTGCATTTCAATTTTTCATCACTTAATACTTTGTATTAAAAAACAAAACAATGTCACAAGATGGAGCGTGAAAAGTTCTACAATCTACAAAGTAAAGCTCCTTTTAATTGTGCACTTTTTGTTTTCAAAAAAAAGCAAAATTCTGTGCAACTGATTTTCGACGCTGTGAAAAGATCATTTTTTTTTCTACCCGAATAATTCATTTCATCTTTTCATTACGTAATACATTTCATTAAAAAAACAAAATACACCACGAGATGCAGCGTCAAAAAGGGTGTGGGTGTGGGTGTGGGTGAGTGTGGGTGTGGGTGGCGGGTGTGGGTGTGGGTGGGGGTGGGGGTGGGTGTGGGTGTGGGTTGGGGTGGGTGTGGGTGTGGGTGTGGGGTGTGGGTGGAACCAGGACAGTATCACGACGCACACTCACACACATACTCCACACCCGCACCCGCACCCACACTCCATACCCAGACCCGTACCCACACTCACACCTACAACCACCCACTTCTACACCCCACCCATACCTTCCACCCACACCTACCCTGTGGCTGCGAGTGCGGGTGTGGGTGTCTGTCTCAACGGTCTACGTCCACACCCACCCCACACCTTCACACCCACACTCTAGTTTTTGTTCGTCATTGTTAGTCCCTTTATTTTCGTACAAAAAGAAAATAAAATACGAAACATTGCAAAGAAAAATTAAGTTAGTAAAACTAGATTTAAAGTCTTCATATTTTAGAGGAAATACTATATTTGATAGTGAAAATATTATTGCAATTAAAATATTTCACTGCTGAT